TACTCGACGTACCAAATTTCTAATTTTACGATAAATGAAGATAATTTTTCACTAGATATTATTAATATTTATACCAAATCCTTGCACTTGATAGATTCAATTCATTTAAATGGCTAAATATGTCTGCTGAGTAGGCCAGCCTCAGCATTGCATCATTACTCTCAAAATCTTTTACTAAATAACAGTTTTGAATAGTCAGTAATTGAATAATTTCCTCATGCAATTCAAAAACTCTGTTAAGCATGCGACCGTTAGATAACCATCCGTATTTTGGTGTGATATAGGAGCATGGTATGATCAGCACCGATTTCTTCGCAAAATGCATGAAAAATGCGATGATTAAGCACTCGCCTTCGGATGTATTTTACTACATTTACTGCTGTAGTTAGATGTTGTTTTAAACTTTCTGGCAATGCTTTCGACGCCAGTGCATGACGATGCAACATGCAATGTGTCATTATAACTTCTGATAATTAATTCTCTTTCCATGTGTGGAAAAAATCCTGAATTTTTGCCTAACGTTGCTGGGGCTCCGTTGGCTACTATTATCAACATCAGTTGACTCATCCAGTTGCATGCTTATTTTTAGTGGACTGATTTTTATGTCTTCAATTACTTGCATTAAAATATCTTCACTGAGATCTTGTATTCGCGATCGTATAATATCATTCGATAATGAAATCTGTTGGATTTTTTTTATGTGCTTTCGAATCTAAAACTGTTTTAGAAGCAATAATTAAAGCAGAAGGTTTAATATCAACTCTTCAGCGAATCGTGTGAGGGTTTCTTTTTTTTTTTTTCACATAAATATGCTACTTGATATGACGCTTCTAAATAAAGGATATGACGCTTCACATTGAAATATGCCACTTGATATGACGTCTGCACAATTTTAGGATATTTCCACTGGTATCAAACCGAGCCTTCTTTGACTTCCAAGCTGTTCATGCTATGTGCTTTTTCGCCACCATGCAGATTGTTGAAATGCCTCTAATAACTTTGATGGTTTGAGATTGCTGTTTGAAAATATCTTGGAAACACAAGATGCATTGCAGTCGTTGCGTGCCATCTTTTTCGGTTGTGCAGGTAAATCCATAATCCGGCATACTTATCGTTCCATTGTCGTTTTTTTGCGACATAGTAGGAGTTCACTATAATCGATTTAATTATTTAGAAATAATGTAATATAATATATATATGTTCTTACGTTTGTAATATCACTGAATCCTATTCGGCTTGAACAGGCAATTAAGAATGTATTAGTCTCAAGAGGTTTCTGGACAAGTCAAAATACACAATACACATATCGCAGACACAATAGTTGACTCAACTTGACTCAACCTAACACAGGCGCAGTAGATGCCAGATACAAATCTGTGAATCCGTAGAATTGCAATCCATAGAGTAGCACATATTGAACTCAGCGCATGCGCAAGCTAGGGATAACGTTCTCCGACTTGTATTCCCACAAAGTGTTTTTTTCTTTTCTCCGTCACCTAGCTGCAAGTTCGTGTTCGTTTGTAGCGTTTCATGCCGTTTCGTAGCGTAGTGTATACGCCCATCTTGGCCGACAAGTCACTTATCGACAAAATGAGCTTATCGACGACTACCAATTTTCTATGAGCTTCAATATTGGGGGCACTAATTGCAGATTTGAAATATTATATTATAAGAAATTTAATAAATGATATTTAATAATTTTTATGGTTAGGTAGGGGCTTCTTTCCCACCCCAAAATAAATACATTCCCCCCCCCCCCCGGTGAAGAACCACCGACTTAACACAACTCATGAAACGTACGGCACCTTTTTCCCTTGTCCTCTATTTTAAACCATGAATAAGTAAAGCTGTTGATGATGAATCAACACATACAAGGATATGATTGTATAAAGCGGGAAAAAAAAGGGACAGATCTATCTCTCATTCTACTGGGCCGACTGATGAAATTCAAACAGCGTTTCATTATATCTTGAAAGCACGACTTGGAATATATATTAGATTTATATATAGCATTGCTCAAACATAAGTATTTTGATACAAAATTGGACTTTTTCTGAAATAACATACCAATTTTTACCACATTTCAATTCTACAACTCAAATTATGCCTATATATTAAATTTCGTAATTTTTGGCGAGAAATTTATGGAGAAATTTAAAATTTATCGTGGTGAATTTTTTTTTAGTTCGCACAAGAATAATTCACTTGGCGAACTTCTTAATTTATAGCAACCTATTTTCCTTTGCCTTTTTCCTTTGTGCACAAGTGGGGGGGAAGTCATAGTTCATACTTTCAAATAATTTTAACAAAGTGCGTACACCACATTTTCATTATTATCGCTTATAACAAAGATGCCAAATTTCAAAACACACCAAAATGTAAATTCACGTATATCTTAGGAAATTTTGAATAAAAACTCTAATTTTTTGCAGGTATGCTTAGAAATACATCTGCTGTTAAGGTTATGGCAGAACCTTTATAGGTAATAATTCAAAATGATTTTCGAAAAATTTATAAAAATTATTTTATAATAAATCATAAAAAATAGGCGAATTTTATTTGGAATGAACCTAAATTTCAAAATATGAAAGGAAGAATCAAGTAAGTTTTAAAAAAAAAAAAAAGAGATAGAAATACCCAATTCAATTAACACTGAGGAGATAAAATTTTGAGAGCTAATTTTTAAAAAACTACTGGTGTGATTTTTACAAAACTTGGCAATTTGGCATAATTTGAATCATAGAATCACAATATGGAAAAAAATTGGCATGTCATTTCAGAAAAAGTCCAATTTTGTGTCGAAATACCTATGTTAGAGCAATGCTATATACAGTCAAAAGTCGTTAATTCGGACATCCATAATCCGGAATGATCTATAATCCGGACCTCAAAGCTAAAAACTTTCTGCACATGCGCCGCGTTGGCACATGCGCACAGGCGTTTTACGCGTGCGCGTTAAGACCTTGATTACTGCGCATATGCGTGTGCGCAAGTGCAGAATACGTTTTAGCCTGCACGTTTAATGTATAACCGACGGTGTAAGCTAAAATTATCTAATTATCTATTTCAGTTAATATTGATGATTGCGTTGTTCCTTAAATCTTCTAATTGGATCCAGCTTATTATTTTTGCAGACTGTAAGAGCAGTTTTATAAAGTAAACTTGAACTTTCGATTATGTCAAATAGAATTTCCGATGATGGAATTCCAAAGGATCTACAAAACGAAAGTATGTTTCGATGTCCAACAAACCAAAAAGTGGAATTGATGCAAAAAATGGATAAAGACATGAAAGAATGTGACAGAGAGGTTAGTGAAAACGAAAAAATTTCGATTGACAAGTTAGTCGGATTCTCGGCACAACAATTTAACGGGACTTGCTTGAACAGCGGACTTTGTAACTGAACAAGAAATTGTGTCTGTTTATAGAATGAAAGAGAAAGTATTATCACATAAAACGAAGCAACTTAAAACAACTTGAATTGAAAGAAATGTTTAATAAAGTAAACAAATAAATATAAGGTTTTTTTTTTTTTTTTTTTTTTTTTTGTAAATTTTGATACCCTTTAGATCATAATTTTCTTATCTCATAATTACGGTTTCATATTTTTAATTTTAGAATTTCTGCATGCCATCTTATGAGATTTAAACTGATGATCTATAATCCAGAAAAATCGATAATCCGGAATCGCCGAAGTCCCGACGAGACCGGATTAACGACTTTTGACTGTATAAATCTTATACACACCCTAAGCCGCGCTTTTGAGACACGAGAAATGCAAGTTTAATTTCGCCAATCCGCCCAGTAGAACAAGAGATACAGAACTGTCCCCTCTTCTTTTTTTTTTTTTTTTTCACAGTGTACAATGAATTTTGATGACCAAAATTCAAATAAACTGATCAACAATGGAATTTTTAATAAAAGTAAACATACTGAAGTATGGTATTATATTTTGTCATAAGAAGTGAAAGAAGGTAATGGTAATTTAATTTCAGTAACTTCTGATAATCACACAGCTAATATGCTTACTAAACCATTGGGTAAAATGAAGTTCAATAATTTTAATCAATGTATTCAATAGATTAAATAATAAATATTTTTGCTGACTAAGAAAGAATAAACTATTAAAACAAGTAACTAAAATATAAAACTGATTTAATTTTTTAATTTAACAAAAGACATAAAAATTAAAACACGTGGCGCAAAGGAGTAATTATGGCCTTTAAAAGAGTATCTTTTAAAACTTATTTATATTTAAAAAATAATATAAAATTACTATGCCTTTTTCAAGATATTAACTTATCTTTAAAAATTAGACATATAAAATATATTAGAAAATTTAATAAAGACAGTGTGACTTTAAAATGACAAAGCTTATGTCGAGCATTTTAAATTCCACGGACTTTCCAAGTTACATTTTTATCGATATTTACTTCCTGTTGTTCGTTTCCATATAGTTGTAAGGGGTTGTTTGGCTTGCAAAGTTACGAGATTAATCATCATATAATGAACCCTATAAAGAACTCGGAACTTGTCTTTCCTTTTAAAGCATACATATAGTATTAAGTAGAAGAAACACTATATTGTTAACCAGCCATTGAGACTCATTTTAAATCCTTATACAGGATTCTGTTTTACCTCTTAAACAATAAGTGAAAAACACAGGACAACAAGAGAAAGCATCTTTTACTTCTTTCATTCAATATGTAAGGTAAAAATTCAACATACTTGTTGCCATTTACTAACACCTACATATCTTTACCACATAAAATTCATGAGTTTCTTAATTAATTGCTTAATTAACATTAATAAAAAAGGGGCTGATATACCATTTAAATAGTTTTGTATCAAAATATGATTTTTAAATATTAAATTCTAAGATGGTAAGCCCTGCACAAAATTTGTAAATTATATGCATGAGTCATACATGAAATTTTTTCATTTTGATTTTAAAAGAACATTGAAAATGTGAGGAACAAAACTTAAAAAGTGTCACATACCTCTCTTGTAACAAAACATTCAATAGGATATGTGAGCATAATTGTTATTGTAAATATCCAACGGGCAGCATTAGCCCAGTCATCATTCATACAGAAATTTTCTAGTAAATCACCTATCAAAAGAGTAATCGTTAAACAATAAGTATAAAAATATCTTAAATAGAAAAATAATTCAAAAATATTTTACTCACTTAACCAATAATACATAATAAAAATAACAAATTTAATACACCATATGTCTAACCCTAGCCAGGATTACTATAAATTCCCTTTTACTCAAATATGCTCCCTTTTTAAAAAATAAATGTTTGGGCAGATTTTTTTTCCAATAACAAATTGTCTGCACTAATATCAAACCTTTATTTCAAATAATAAAAAAAATAATTTGTTAATAAATATATTAATAATAATTATAAAAAAGCACAGCTAAAAAATTAATAAAATTCTAAACAAGCGTAAAGAACATATCACAATATTCCAAAAAATTACAATGAAAAAATGAAAACCAATCTTATATGTAACTGATCACGCGGGCCTCTGTACATCAACAATCTATTATAGATGAATGTATACCGGAAAAAAAACCAAATTAAAGAATCTAATACAATAACTTTTCGACAGAAAATAAGTTGTCTCACTAAGAAAGCGCTACAAACTGAATAAATTCTTGAAATAGTGAGTATTTCATTCAATAATATCATTGTATATGGACATCACTCATTTGTTCCATGATTAGCATAATGAATGTCTACATATGCCCTTGGAAATTTGCGAATTGGAACTTTAGGGGGTTGCTATTAGTCAGAACAGGTTGAATCTCTGACAACTGGTGCTGGGTGGTATTAACGTGTGGTACTCACTGTGGCGAATTAACTAAATTACGCGCTCTGTAAAGTAAATCGTTAAATCATCTTTATAAATCAGGAGACGCAGTGAATAATCTCCTGGGTGCATTGGTATAATCAAGCTACACTGTCAATTAAAGAAAAGTAACAGCAATTTTTTTTAATGATTAACCTCAACTTCTTTTCTGAAAACAGTAATCTAGTACGATGCCAACATAAATGCTGAACGCTAAGATACCACTAATTCATCAGTGAACAAATACAGTACAAGTCGAGCCGGACTCATCGCGACTTCATGATCCAATAGATCATCAGTTTAAATCTAGTAAGTGGATGTCGAATTCTAAATAAATATGAAATTATGATTTATGAAATAATGAAGCATTTATGATCTAAAGCAGCAATTCTCAACCAGTGGCACGCAAGAGAGAAATAGGTGGTACGCAAAGAAACAGTATTTTTAACTATTAAATTCAGTAATTAAATACCCCAAATCTTATTGAAATTTTTTCTTATACACTCTAAATTTATGCTATCTGAGCTTTGTTCAAGATAAATAGCCGCTCATAGACTTCAGCAAAATAATCCCTTTTTATTTTCGCAAATATTTAGCATAGATATAATAAAATTTGCCATAAATGATGCTTTAAAAGGAGTAATAGAAATGGATGTTGTATTTAATAGTAAATAAGTTCTTATAAAAAGATACTACTCATTAATTCTTTTAGAGTTGATAGATTTATTAGCATGTATACACTTTATATCGTCACCATTTCCGGCCTCACAGTGCTCTATTTTCAATTAGAATAATTTTTTTACATCGATTTGCTGTTTTTAACAGTAGGTATTCTGTGTACTTGTTGCTTTGTATTCGTTACTTTTCCACGCGATTTGAGAATACCGTTGCTTGTTTTTGAAGAACTCTTAATATATTGTACATTTAAATATTTGTAAAAAATAAGAAAACAAACCTAGATTTTCAAAACGGAAATATGGCTAAGGATTAACTAAGTGGAAAAGCGATGATTCACAGTTGATGAGTCCAGGATAATCTACTAGCATTAAGAATATTGAAAAGAAATATTGTTTACAGAAAATATAATGGAAGTTATTTATCATTTGGGTTTACTTGGAATAGAGATGAAATGGACCCTCAATCTCAATATGTTGTTAGCAGTGAACTATTTCGCAATCAAAGTATGAAACCATTATTTCTTAAAAGATATCTTGAATCTAAGGCTCAAACTATTGGAGAAAACCTTAACCACAACTAAAGATACCATTTTAACATTATTTAACGTAAAAGCAGCTAATGAACTTACTAATATTTTGTTATCAAATGATACAGTAAGTCGACGAATTTATGAAATGGCAAATTCCATAAAAGAGACACTTATTCAAAAAATAAAACACTGCGAGTATTTTGCATTGCAATTGGATGAAAGTATTGATATAACTCACATAGCACAAAAACATCCTCACAATATTCTGATGATGCGACTCGCTGGATAAGCGCGCATCCTCAGGACATCTCGAAATATTCCCCGAACCTCCTAAACACATCCTCCCGAGTACTTAATGTCACATCCCAGTATATCCTAAGTCACATCAACACCATATGGGATGTTCGTAGGATCTGAACTCCTACATCCTCAGGACACCCCCTAACCTCCTAAACACATCCCATTATATCCTCAGAACATCCTATCTAGGTCCCATCAACAGCATGGGATGTTATTAGGATTTAAAGTCCCACTTCCTACATCCTCAGGACATGACATAATATCCCAGTTTCCTCCTAAACTCTTCCTAACAACCGCTTAGTGTCACATCCCAGTATATCCTTAGGACACCCGATCTAGGTCCCATCGACACCATATAAGATGTTCTAAGGATTTGAAATACTAGTTACTATATCCCAGAACATCCCTTTAACCTCCTAAATACATACTCCCAACTGCTTAATCTCACATCCCAGTTATCCTCAGGAAAACATTCCAATGAAAGTATGTGAAGGTGTGATGATGATCTAACACCTACTTATTTTACACAGATAGTCTCAAATCCTTCTCCTATGGTTACTTTGGAAAAATAAGAAATGTTGAGAATATTTATACAACTTATTTTGTTTTAAATCTGAATTTGTGAATATTTGTGAATATATTAAAACTGAGCAAGGAAATTAAAATGAATTATTAATACAAAATATTAAAACTGAAAATTTTGCTTTTATTTTTAAGATATTAAAAATCTTTTGATCATTTTTAAACATCCAATAGCCCCCAAATTGAATTATTCATAATTAAATTATTTTACAAAATCAGTTTCTAATTTCAGTTAATTTGTATTAAAAATTGAATAATAAAATTACCCATTTAATAATCTTTACATAAATGAATCATCTTTCTTTAAAACATGTAAGGAATTTATAGTGTTTTGATGACACTGTTGGGAAATTGTTAAAAGGAATAAATTGTATTTTTAAAACTAAATCAATTCCTAGCCTCAGAATAAATAAATATGTTTTTCGTAACATGAGAATGCTGCAGGCTTTTTTATATATTTAATATTTAGTTGTAAAAATTTGACATTATGTTAACAATTCTTTATATCATTCAAAAGGTAACTCAAGAAGCTCTTCTAAAATTCTATCTTTCTGCTCACAAATTAAAAAAAAAAAAAAAATCTGAAAGGCCTCAGATTTTAGCAGTCACTCAAAGAGGCTAAAAGTTTAATGATGCATAGATTATCAATACAGATGGGGCAGTGGAAATAGCAAAACATTTTATAAGATACTGACACCAGAAAGTTATATATCTTCTATATATTTGAAAAATGAAGAAATATATCATGTAATTATGTAGAAATATTAAAATGTTTTCAATTAGATATATCATGAATTAAATGCATTTTAAATCAATCAGATTAAAAATTAAAAAAAGCATTGTTAAGAACTGTGTGTAATGCTTTTAAATAGCTTGGCTTGTTAGTCAATAATAATATTAGATTTTAAAGGTAAATATGTTAAATTTTGCCAAATGGCAAGACTTGAATGAAAAGCGAAACAAGTTTACGACTGACGATATGAAGTCACATTTCAAAACTAATAGCCTTTTAGATTAAAAAAAAAAAGTTTGAAAATAATTTGCACTGGTTCATTGGTATTAGTTTATGCAAAATTCAATAAAATTTACCAGTTGAAATCAGCACTAAATTAAACTTTGAAAATTTATAAAATCGTGCACATGTTAAAGGTTTATCTCATCTAGTATGTTATTAATAACCATTCATTTCAAAGCAAAATAAAACAGTAATTGCCATTTGTATGACAATCATCAATATTAGTGTCAAAAATTTAAATCTGCATTTTATGCAATACAGAAAAACTGTAAAAGACCTACTGTGTGTTTACCATGCAATTAAGGCATTTTATTCTGCTATCAACTCTACCAATTATTAATTCCATTAAGTATATTCAGTTTACTCTTTCTGCTCAATATATGCAATGTAAAATTTTCCATAAATTTATTAATTTTATTTTGAGGTGAGCTTTATTCAACTCTCAATGTCTATGAGAATGTTTAGTTCATTTCCCATTCGGTCTCAAAAGAGAAATCAAAATATGTGGATTTATAGCACAGTAAGAGAAGCACTGCTACCTTAATCTGTGACTATATATAAAAAAATGCAGTGAATTATAGTCAACAAATAGTGAAAATATTTACATTTTATTAATGAAATGCACACTTAGACAAAAAAAAAAAAAAAAAGGGGGGACCAAGAAGGAGTTACCTGAATGGCACGAAAATCGGTAGAAGTGACGTACATGTACAGAAAAACAAATGATTACAGTTTGGAAAAATGAGATTATTGAAGGATGAGCTTCAGAAAATGAAAAAGTCAGTAACGCGTTTGTCCACCTCTGGCCTTTATGCAAGCAGTTATTCGGCTTGGCATTGATTCATAGAGGTTGTGGATGCCCTCCTGAGGGATATCATCCCAAATTCGGTCCAACTGGCGCGTTAGATTGTCAACATCCCGAGCTGGTTGGAGGGCCCTGCCCATAATGCTCTAAATGTGCTCAATAGGAGAGAAATCCGGCAACCTTGCTGGCCAAGGTAATGTTCGGGCAAGCCGCAGAAATGTGTGCAGTGTGGAGGCGGGCATTATCTTGCTGAAACGTAAGTCCAGGGTGGCATGACATGAAGGGCGACAGAACAGGCCTTAGAACTTTGTTGACGTACCACTGTGCTGTAAGGTTGCGACGGACGACAACCAAAGGGGGTCCTACTATGAAATGAAATGGCACCCCAGACCATCACTCCTGGCTGTCGGCCTGTCCGCCGGAAGACAGTCAGTTTGGTATCACACCGCTGTCTGGGGCATCTCCAGACTCGCCTTCGCTGGTCATCGAGCTCAGTTCAAAGCCGGACTCATCACTGAAGACTATTCTACTCCAGTCAGTGACATTCCAGTGCGAATGAGCCCGACACCACTGCAAGTGGGCTTGACATTGTACATAGGTCAATGGTATTCGGCGCAAGGGGCGCCGTGAGCTCAGCCCCCTTTCTGTGAGCCATCTATGAATGGTCCTTGCGGTCATTGAAGCACTATTTGCATGTACAATCGATAATAATGATGTATGGGGGACTGTGAGTGCCGCTCTGACGACGGCTCGCTCTTCACATTCTGCCATTTCTCTAGTCCCACCCGCTTCCTTCTTGACACTGTGCACAGCCATGGTTCACCCACTCCTGCCAACATCGTCTAATAGCGCATCGCTTCTGCTCAAATGTCAAACTATTTGCCGATAAGACCAACCGCCTTCTTTAAGCCAAACTACACGACCTCTCTCAAATTCTGGCATCTGCGCATATCGTTCGTGCACCTGTATGCGAGGCATAGTTACTGTCTACCAGAGTACACTGAATGAAATTCATGAAGAACTTATGACTTGGAATCATAATTTCTCCTCTTAAATATCTTGCCAGTTGTGTAGATCAGATGCACTGTAGCAACAACCATTCATTCATTGGCAGCCAAAATATAAAATTTTGCATTTTCTGTCGAAACCTGTATGTATATCAATTTTTTTCCAATTTGCTTTATATCTTCTCGGTGCGTCGTGGTGCGTCTTTTCTTTTCTTTTCTGTCTTTGTCGTGTAAGAGTGGATTTCACACATAAGATTTTTCAGTTTTGCATATGTGGCAGTTTGAGAATTTACTACGTATACAATTTTTTTAATGTCTGAAAATTTTTGGATTTTCAAGGAAAGTTAAGTATTTTTTCACCTTTAGTATATAAGTATTGTTAATTTAGCAAATAAAATTACTTAATGTGGAATACAGAAAACATCTAACCACTTACCCTTGTGATTTCATCTGCAGAGAGACTTTACAAAAAGTAGTTCAGCTAGCCTGTTATAATAAATATTTATAAAAATGCTAAATCCTCCATTAACTATTAATGACAAATTTTTGTACACCTATTTATTCACATGAAAAATAAACACATTCATAAATTTATGGCACTATCTTATGATTAAATACAAAGGAACACTTTTCAAAATTCAAAATAGTTTTTATTAATTCAATTTATCACATTTTCTTTAAATTCCTGAAAAATAATTCATTTTTAACCATGTAAAAGATAATATGCATAACTCTTGAATGATAAACTGCATCTTTGCAATTGCCTTTCGCAGCACCTAAAATAAAAAAAATTAAAAAATTAAAAAAAAAAAAAAAAACCACTCGCAATTACTATATGTGAATATGATTCATAATTAAATTTAAACAAATGACTATTAAATACCAGAAGAATGCAAAATGAAGGAAGCATACAAAACATTTTAACATTTATTATCTATAAGCATAGCAGCAATTATTTGGTAATTCAAAAGTAGTAAAATAAACATGGGAGATGCCTTTTTAAATTTTTTGTTTATGTCAGGAACTAAAATCACCAGTTGAACATGTCAGCAGTTTTATCAATCAGCCACTGGCAGGCAACCTGGATAGCAATGTTAGCATATATAAAGTTGCTAAGATAAAGAGAGGGACAAAATTATGATTATCAAAACTTACCTAATCATAAAACTATTTTATATTTAATGTGTAGGAAAGTTCAAAATGAGTGAGAATGAATTTATTTTGTAACACAAAGCTGTCTTACAGGAGCAAAAAAAAAAAACTTGTCTCCTGAGATTAGCAAGTAAAAAATAATGTAACTGCATTTGGTAACATTTTGCTGAAAACACATAAGTAATTAGTAGCCACATGCAGAAAATAAAATCTGATCATGATAAGCAATATGCAATTTCAAACTTTTGAGTTTATCTGCAGAAATCTGTCAAAGGAGCATATATTATGTTGTAATAGTAGATGGAGCTGTTCTATCATAATCAACATTTCAGTGGTTTAAACACTAGTGGAGCAGTAAACAAAGATGAAGATTTGGGTTTTGTTTACAAAGCATGGTGGTTTTGGCACTCCAGCCATTACTGTGAACACGTTTATAACAAGCATAGCCACAACAATTGTCTATGAATATTGATGTATAAGACTGCATGAACTAATAGATTTCTTATGGTAGTATATACATAATCTTTAATCAGAGTGAAAACGAGAATAATGTGCATGCATTTCCTCTGATTGTAATATGGATTTGACCATACAAATCTCTGTCTTACAGGACTTGCCACACTCTGCAGACAGACAGTAAATAGTTATTGTGTTGCTGTCCACTATTTTTTTTTTCTTACAGCTATGAAATAAATATACATCTACATTTTAATTTTTCCTTTCTTGTTTTTTGGATTAGCTTTCAAGAAGTAGAAAATTTTGATATTATTACAATATCTGAGTTAAAACAACATTCCGAATAACAATTATAGGAGATGTTAAGGCAATGAAAATTTTAAATTAGGTTAAAAAGTAACCTTAACGTGGCATATTTTTGACTCAAACTCTACTTCAAGAACAACAAAAAGTCCCTCTTCTTACCGAATTTAATTTACTACTTTTAAATACATAGCTATTTATGAATTTTCTTCCTTGCATGTTATAAATGAAACAAAATTATATTAACACAGTCAAAATTCCTAAATACAAGTACATAAAATTTACTTAAGCAGTTTTAAGAGATAAGACACGCTGAACACATTATGAAAAAATATCTGTCGAAGAATAATTTATTAAATTTGACATCTTTTATAGTAAATTTTAACCATTAGATTATATTATTACACCATGTTATCAGTTCAAAAAGCAAGTCACATGCCTGATCTTGGTTGCAAAAGAAATACACAAAATAATAGATAGATTATTGAAAAATGAGGTATATGATTAAATGGAACAGAAAATTTGCTGTCACAGCCACATTTTTAAGTGAAATGCATTATTTAAACATTTTACAATATTTAACCCATTGCAGTCGGATTAAATTTGGAGATGGGTATCATACTGGTCGGAATTAATTTCCGTCAATAGAGCAGAGCTACATAACATGCAAGTTTACTATGGATAAACAAGATTTAGAAATTCTTTTGTGAACTTTAGATATATCTTTATTCAATACACTGATCTAGTGGTATGTTTTTGCATAAAAATTATGTTTTATAATTCTCCTTCATGTGATATTTTTCAAAACACTCTCCAACATGCAGGCCAGGTTTTCGAGTGCACGTATCGCAAAAATAATTGTTTTGGTGCATTCCACCCTTAGTCTTTCTGTTTGAACATAAACTACAATCTTTACTTTTTACATTTTCACAATGCCGCAATATATGCAGCTTTCCATTAAGTCTTTCTTCCTTATTGGAGGTCAATGGTCTTCCTGGTTTTGAATCTGCTCTGTCACGAAAATCACCTACCAGTTGTGCCACCAATTTTCGGACGAACATAAAATGTGGCATAGGTATTCTGTTTTCTCTTCTAGCTGAATTTTGGGGGATTATTTTGGAATATTTTAAGAAGAGAGAAAGTCTAATTACTGTTAAATACAATTTATAAAATATTCTTTGGAATTCTACAAGGTATTGTCAAACGTTGTCGATTTCATTACGTTCAAAAGACGACTGACTCACCACTGCATCTTGCATGGCGAGCACTGGGTCACAACTTTTGTTTAGATTCGATTACGTTATCTCCAATCGATGGAGCACCATATTGGTTCGTGAATAGGTTCTTTAGGCATTGAAGTTCGTATAGAAAAAATGTAAACTGATACATGAATGCATACAGTATACGTTTCATATAGTTCCTTTCTGTGGTGGCTGAGAGCAGACATACAACCGGAACGGTAAAAAGGCTTTGGTGGCTGAGAGTGGACGTACGACTGCAAAGGGTTAAGATATGGCATTAAATGCAAATCTATAAGCATAGACATGAGTTACTAATTTTTTTTTTAAAAGTTAAAGAATGAACATCATGAAAGATTTCAGAAATAAGCAGAGCTTAATTTGGAAGACTTTTAGACACTTAAGATAAATAAATTTGAGACTTCTTCGTCCAAAATTAAATTAGAATTAACTAAAACCAATTTGACTGACCTTCCAAGAAATCCTTCAGCTGCAATTTTTTCAAGCTTGAATATGAAATTCTTTTCTGCATATAATAATAACCTAACCAGTTGAGATCCATCCCCACAGAAAATTTGATAACACAATAATAGAATTGTGAATTAATACAATAGAATAGAATAGAAAAATTAATACAGGAGTATAAAACATCACTTAAACTTAACATTAAAAACTTTGGTGCTTTCTGACTATCTGCAGAGCTATGAAAATTGGCAAAATGTTTGTTTGGTTAGTTTAAGGCTCACATCTACTGCTCTGTTTAAAAGTAGTAATACAAATAAGCATTTAATACGAAACAAGAAATTTTAGGAGACAAAAATAAAAAAATCTATATGGTTGATACTCACACATTTTTGAATCAACAGAATACTATTCAGAAATAAAGATTAAATATAAAGCATGTAAATACATGTGTGTGGTATGTATATTCATAGCTTGCTATTATCATATGTATACTCTTGCAGTTCTAGTATAAGTTGAAGCAGTGAGTGAAGATGATCAGAAAGTATCAAAATTTTTCATGTATAAGAAAAGATTGCCCTGATAACAGTACCTCAATTTTTTAGCACTGACATCTATATAGTGCATTAGAAATAAATAGTAATATATGTAAAATAAAAAGAAAATTGCATACTCTTAAATTTTTTTAAGTGTCAAAATTTATAATTAAACAGAATTTATTTCACATGAACATCTAAAAATCCACTTCTCATTCTCAACTAAAAAAATAAATAAATAATAAAACCACATTTCTCATGAAGCCCATTATTTCCTAACATGCCCAGTTCTCAAAGTTCCCAGCTAATTACTGAACTAAGCATCAATGAGAGTCATGTTCGCTAATGTTACAATATCTTTCACACTTCTTTGTTACCAAAGGTAATGAGTAGGCTTTGATAAATCTTTAACTGATACATGCTACATTTGTCTAAAATTTGTATAAATAATAAATTTAAATGAGCTCTTTATAATATACTTAAAGAAATAATTTTGTATGAAAATTTATATGTCATACAGCAGAATATTGGTCTGATTAATCATTCAGGAAATAATTCAAAATTGAGTTTGTGTTAAAATGAAAACTATAACACAAAGATAAGCAAATTTCCTTATGAACAATGTATTTTAACATTATTTAATCTTTGGCAATCACACAGTACTAATTGCTTCAATAAACATTACTGTAATTGTGTTATTTATTTTCTTAATTAAAACATTACAGTATTTTTTCTCTCCCTCTTCCTAACACCCAAAGAAAACCCAGATAAGAAATATAAAAATATCAGTAAAAATAAATTATGTTATTGTATGAAACTTTATGTTAATTACACTTATACATATAAAGGAAATCATTAAAAAATAGAACTGTAATTAAAATATGAATTAGCATGATTTACTTGATTATAAATTACTTCAAAATCAAAGATGGGAAGGGGGAGAAACTTTAATATTGGCATTTCTGAAGTAATATAAACATTAATACAGTTTGGTATTTCAGGCAAAAAAAAAAAAAAAAATTCACTTTTCTGGATAGCATGAATATTTTCATCTCCCCTTCAATGAAACATTAAGAGAAATCCATATAATTTAAACACCAGTTTATTCTGTTTCTCAGACAGGTTATGTCAACTCAAACAAACCTTAACAGTAAAATTCGGTAGTAATAATTCTGAATGTTAAGCAACTTGCAAGATACAACAAAAATTATCAATAATTATATAATAATGACAATACTACAGTAACATGAACTTAATATTAAACTGCATATGACTATAAAATAAGCCAGCATATAATAACGGTGCATTGGTTTCTAAAAAACAATGGGCAGGATGAAAAAATACATATATTATGGTAGCTATTTAAATTCTTCAGCTTTCCTAACATTCTCATGTTCACTTTATATAACTAAAGTAGATAAAATACAATAAAAATGCTAATAATATTTATGGTAAAATGTTAAAAGAAATCATAAGCATTTCATTGAATGACCATATTTTGTCTTCCTACAAGTTGAACCTTAAAATAACATACAGTTTAAAAGAGTGCTTAATATTTTATAAAATATTCAAAAAAGGTTAAAAAAAAGGGTACTTTTCTGTTATCAGGACCGGATTCAGAAATGTATATATGTATATTTGTAAATACGAATGTATGTGAGTGTATAAATATACACATATATGCACATACATACAAACACATGTTCATACATTTCCAAATTTGGTCCCGATAACAGAACAGTACCCCCCCCCCAAAAAAAAAACCTTAAAATGTCTAATTCTCCATGTTTTAAAATTGAATTATAAACTAGATTCAACCATGCATATTTTTGACAAAACTATGGAAACTTTTATTTGTATATAATTATTCAAACTAATATAAATTTATTACTACAATAAAATGATAAGCAATCTGATCACACATAATATTTTGAAACAATGTATAAACCAGACAAAAAAATTTCAGCCATGCAATTCACTGAATCTGATAATAATAGTGCTTAAAATCTGGTTTTGCACAGAGTTTTTTTAGATTTATTTGGGGGTGGGGGAACTACTAGATATTAAAGAATACTAGATGACTTCAGTTTTTTGACACTTCATGCAGTCCACAGTAAACTGAAATCATGAAAATAAAATGCAGAAAATGTTCATTTGTGTTTGTTGAAATAGCTTCAAAATGAAAAAATTTGAATTATGAAGTTATTCCATAAAATACTATATATGAAATGTGCTTTACATGAAATGTAACTTCCATCCATAATACTTACTAAGCAACTACAGAGGAGGTAGCACACTTCAGTAGCACAGTAACAGGTTTTATCCTAAGCCTCCAGATTTTTTAATGTCTTGCATGATCTGTTAGAAATTATACCCTTTGGAACATGGCAAAAATATTAAAAATTTCTCAAAGGCTGTTAAGATAAAAGTGTTCAAACACAAAGAAATAAAACAAAACCCAAGCTTCTTGCTATAAAATTTGTATCTGAATTAGAAGAACACTTTGTAGTGGAAGTTAATCCTGAAACTGCCAGGTTTGTCAGCATATGGATACAATGGTCAAAAGGCAAGAAAATTTTTTTTAAAAAAAGAAAATAAGAAATTTGCATCTGGCATATGCAAAATACATGTTCAGCAAGCAACATTTGGCATAATGTAATATTTGCATTTTTTTTTTTTTTAATGGCAAAACAAAAACACTATCTGGCCGTAGAACATATACAAATGCTAAATGAGTCAAATTTGCTGAGTAATGTAGCAGCAAATATTATATTCCTGTGACTAATGCAACGTTGGACTTTGCGTACACCCATATTTCAAAGAATATCATACAGTCTCATTTTGAAACATTGCTTATTTTTCGTTGTTTGCTCATTCAATTTTTTATGAAACACAGTTTTAATATTTTTTAATTTTGTTTGTGTGTTGTGTTAAATAAAATCTGCAATTCTTTGGATATTTTTCCATATATATTTATTTATTTGTGGGACAAGGGAAAAATTATATTATTCTAGAATGAGTATTTTATAAAATTTTTAAGGAAAATATAACAATAAAGGCTTAAAATTAATTCTGATGACTACCCGAATGTTCTCATAATGTATCCAAAATTGGAAGACAAATTTCATTTATACGAATTTTTTTTCCAAAGTTAGGCTTAGCAGCGTAAATTGCCCGACCTCACAGGACTACGCAGCCAATTAACGTGCAGTGGCAAGAGAACGCTTCAGTAACAGAGGTGCCCGTTGCGAACGGGTTAAAATGTTAAACTGAAAATAATTATGATGAAGAAATGACACAAAATAGCCTGGTACTATATGAAAACATTAGTTGAATTTATGGCAGAATGTATGCAAAATATAATTTAATTAAAGAACACTGAATTAATATTAAATGTTTTGTTGTTTGCAAATTGTTTCAAATAACTATCATGTGTTAATATATCCAAACACTTAACCCTTTATTATGCATATACTATCTTTGAGACTTTCATTTATAAATATTCTGGTAATTTCAAAATATATTCATCTTCATTCTTATCAGTTTACCTAGACCAAACAAATGAATTTTTTCTTGCCCTCCTACTTGCAATGCATTATAAATATTTGAAAGAGAAACAATTTTTAGTTCAACCAAGTCGTTAGACAGTGGATCTCTGTTTTTATGTTACGAATTCTACAAAGCATCTGTATGACGGGGTCATGAAAGTAATGTACATGATAGCAATCAAGAGTTTGATGTTTTAATAAAGTAAAGAGCGATGTAAGAGATTCAAATAGTAATTCAGAGGAAGAGTGCATTGAATCTGAACAAGGAAGTTAATCAACTTCATCAGAAAACACTGACAGCAGATAAAGAGAAAATTTTAGAAATAAATGAGTTTTAGATAAAAGTAAACAAATGTATGAAAACAGCTCTATAGAGGGTGTAAAAACACTAGTTTTAAAAGGAAGAGTATGACAGCTAAAAAGAAAACGCAGAACTATTTTATGTATTATTAGAATGCAGAAGGAAAGGAAAAGTCTATATTTAAGAAATCATTAAAATCCAAACCCATACAAGATGATTTAGTACTTCAAAATATACAGTTTTTTTTTTTTTTGTGTGTGTGTGTGTGTGTGTATGTGTGTGTGTGTGACAGGATGACAAAGTTATTGTGTAGGAAACCAACATGTCTATAGTGTTTCAAATTTAAATGTAACAATTGTATGTAAAGCAGAGATTTAGAATATTCCACTAACTGAAATTTTCAAGCAATTTTACGTTTTACTTTATAAATGATTTATTGGTCGATATGCTTCTAAAATAAGTTTAAATAATAACAACTGTTTCAAAAAGTATTGTACTGTTTTCTATTTAGCAGTATTCATGCAATTTCAATTTTAAAAAAAAAATAGCAGTTTCAATTAAAAAAAAAAAACTGAATATGGTATGCTTATGACACTATATTTTACTTATTAATAAACACTTGGATAGCAGGGCAAATCAGATATTCAAAAACACATCATTGAGATATACACATAATTCATGATGGAAAGTTAATAA